ACTTACGAACATTCGAAACATTTTCATAAACTTCTTTGATACTCTTTGTGGCTACAGAGGCGTTGTGTCCCTTCTTGTATTCAAACAGCTTTACATGCCGAACAAAGTGTTCCAAAATGCGACATTAATTTCTTGACGACCTAATATAAAACTTCCAGGAGAAACCATCTTAAACTATTATTCTTGGGGTGTTCTATCATTGGGCGGGTTTTATTTTCATTATTGCGTTTAAACAGTGCCTAGTACAATCCTTGTAACGACAACGAATTAATATATTTTTTCAATGACATTTACAACAGGCTACATTCATTTTGACAAACAAAGTTTCAACAGAATTTCCGAGACTAATGGTACATACGCCTAACTTACTTGAGTTATAAGCTTACTTCGCAAAGCTGATCCTAATTAATAAACAAACACGATGAATCACCAGGTAGCTGAATAGCAGACTAGAGGTGATGATTCTCACTTTTAGCACGAACAACTTTTCCAACACTGAACTGACACAGTCAATACTTATATATATTTACATCACGCCCTTGTTTCTACATATTTCACGAAGTTTTTCCGAGCCTTAACATTCACGAACCTTTCAGATCTTAACGTCATGCACCCTCTAACAAACACTAAAATTAAAAACATTGAAAATATAGCTTTTAACACTATGTTTCTATAATGATATGAAAAGGTTACTATGTTTCAGTATTGCGCAAAACGTTTCGGGAAATTCAAAGGACTTTTTATGCAGTGTACCAAATGTACATAAATAGACAAATAATAAGGGAGTGGATATCAGAACACTAACCGCATTTAGTTTTGTTACGTGTTTGAGCAAAAGGGTTACTATTAAACTACTTCTAGTAAGTCGGTTTTTAAGTGTTCAAAATAACCGATTGCCGAGAAACTGATGAAAACGGTATATTAAGAATAACCAAGGAGGGAGTTTCTAAAAAGTCATATTTGTGGTATTAATTTGAATAATCAATGAGCGTCTGAAACAAAGCTTTTAAAGTACTAATTGCTATTCTGGAGATTGGTTTATTATAAAAGTGTTAATTTTAACCAGTATATATTTGACTGTGGGAGAATGCACGTAAAATAAAATAATTGTTACGACAGCGGA